AAACCCTCATTTGGCCTGTGGCATCACATTAGTTTGACACCCCTAACATATAGGATTAGGTGGTATCTGAGCAGGAATTTCTCGGGATTGCAGTTTTGGACTTAGATGCCTAACGTTCACCTAACTCCTAAATCCTTTTTTGTATCTGCTCGTGAATGAGACTAGTTTCTGAAGAGCAGCTCCGCTTCATCAAGCATTTTTTGACGCACAGAGAAAATAAAGCTTAATAATAAAAATGATGCTATCAGCTCTTAAACTGCATGTAGGCTGCACTACACTTTCACCTCCGATAGATTAGTATAAATGAGATATATGAATTTCTAAAACCCTTCATATACATATTGTTAACAAGGGCAATATTTCCAACTCTTTTATTTAAGCATATTTTCTCACCTTGTCCAGCTTACCAACAGGTATCACTTGGAGGCATGATTGATTCACCACTAGGTATTCAGAAACATGAGGCTATAAGATCTCTATGCAAAAAATACTAAATGTTTTACTTAGAGAAGCACATTAGGAAGTGGAAAATAAACCACAATGTCGTTTTCTTTGCAAATCCTCAAAACAAACAAATATAAAGATTTAAGATGTAGCTTGTAAATGTCTATCTCTAGCTTCAATAGACCAATTAATCATTTCATATTTGAAAAGTTAATGCTATTATCCATTACTCCAATTATCCAGGAGAAGAATTTGCCTGTAGATGTTAGGGTATGTCTACTCTACTGATGTGGTCATATTTAATTGAACTGGTTTCTGACACCACAGGTTGAATCTCGTCTATGAACCATATCTTTGGCACCTTGATTTAGACAACTTCTCTCCCTCCACCTCACACACACGTTGTGGTAAGAGGTTCTCATCTGGAAGTGTCTTGGCACTTGCTGCTGTCTGTTGGCTGCTCCAAAGAAAGTTAGTCTTGAATGTGTACCAGCTTATCAATGGACTTCTCTTTCTATGAGTACTAGACTAGGTTTCCAGGGCAGCTGCCATACACAGGGACAGTGGTGACTTCTTGTTGTAACTGCTATGATTGTGCAGCTGCAGCAACAGCTGTATTTTTCAACTCCCCTACCTTCCATGTTTGCACTCAAGGTAGTTGCCCCACCCTGATTATACCACTGGAGCTACTCACATGATGAACGTAAGTCCTTTTGTAAAAGTGCTTTTCAAATTGGACCAAAATTTGGATCAGACCCTTACAAGACTAAACCCTTAAAACATGAGCTGAAGGCACGTATGCAGGTAGCATAAAAATGAGTGAAATAACTTGATACAATATTCATGTTGAATCTTGGCTAGTTTTAAATTTAAGAGAGTCTAGCTACAACTGGGGGACTGTTCCAGAAAAGGGACATGTATTTTCTTAATTCTATGCTTCTGCCTAACTGAAGTTTGGTTCAGTACAACAACAAAGAGCATAGGGGCCCTCTTGTGATGAATCAGAGAAGAACTAGGAATCAGGCCTGAATACTGTAGTGTGAAGAGAGGAACCATCAATATAGTTTGTCCTGCCTATGGTAGGATTCTAGAACAAGCAGGAGCAAACCAAACAATGACACTGAGGGACTCCCTTCTACCAGCAGAGTGATACAATCCTCCAGAACTGAAATGGAGAAATAAAAATGAAATAACACCAAAATAAAAAAAGCAGCAGGGAAGAGGAACAACCTCCTAGGAAGTCTTAAGCCAATCAGTGCAAATACTTTAGAATAATACCCAATGCATTACTCATATTTAGTAGCTCATATTTACATTGACAGAAACCTGATCTATATGCTGGTATCTCCTTCTTGATTAGTCTTTTTCTTTGCATACATGCCTTTACTATTATTTTATGGGTTCCTGTAACTATACCCTTAGCTTAAGATACAACAGGCATTAATCACATACATGTCTTTCTCATAGTACTCAGCAGAAATTATAGAAAAGTTCACAAGGCATTAGGAACGGAAAATATTCTTTCAGAACTTACACCTCAGTACCTTTTCCTACAGCTGCCATGAAATCAGTGGTTTAATTATAGATCTTACACACATTGTTGGGCAACAAGTCAACAACTTTCCTGTGTTTATTTCAGGGGTAGTGGCATTTGTTTAGCTATAAATTCAGATATGCTCTATTGTGACTGAGAAAAAATATGTGCTTTGATGATGCTCTCTCTCTGAGCAGCTTAATTAAAGAGCAATCATACTCTAGAGAGTAAACGCTCATAAAATTAGGGATTTATAAATGGAAGTGAGAAGCTTAAAAAAAAAGGCAATAGGCAAAAGATTGTTAGCCAAAACAATGGTGGTGTGATGCTACATGGACAGAGAAAAGGGATATATATGGGTAAAGCTGTGTCCATGTAACGAATGAGTGTAACAAATGTATCCTTCGTTCTTGTTTCAGAAGGTCTGGACAAAGTACCACTGGAAATATAATAGGGAGTAATTCTACACTGGCAGGGGTGTTTGGACTAGATGACTTTTCCATCCATCGTTGTTGCCAGCTGTTTTATAACATGGTCAAATAAAACTGT